CAAAGAACAATCAGTCAGCGAATAACCGATCATACCAAAACTTTGGTCTTTCTCGCCATATTTAATGAAAGAAAGGAAAAATTATGTTACTGTATGCGGTGTGGCAACTTTGCAGTATAACTGAATTTTAATGATGTGCGTTGACTAGAAGAATATGTAATTAGAAACGTTTATATTTGTGAACATTAGGGTGAGAAGAAAGAAAGCGATAATTATCAGCGTTCGCCTGGAGGCAGAAAGATAAAATAGCGAAAAGTCTGTTTGGGAGCAATAGGGCGAGGTCGAACCCCGGCCTTCCTAATGCGAAGAGGGCGTGCTGCTACCTTGCTTAGTTCAGTACTGTGTGCCTGCAACAATGTTGTCGCTATGAAGAGGCAGCCACAAAGCGGTCTGGACCCGGCGTCTGGTCAGAGACAAAGCGGATGTGTAATGTGATAAAACGGATTGCAGAGAAATCTAACAGCAAAAGGCCCGATTTTAAACGCTACTATTCATGAGCTCTCAGTAATATTCAGCGACCTTTTCTCGTACTTTCTGTTTCCCCATGGTTCCTCTATAATCTTCTTCCACCTTCGTCATCATTTCTCGCTCTCATTTTTCTCTCCTAATTTACTCGGAAGAGTTTCCCAACCCCCCTTTTTCGAGGGTAGCATCCCTTGTAGTTCCTTCATCGCCCACACAACCTTGGCGCCACCAGTCGACGAACAGTTTCCTGAAATATACGGCAGAGTGCGCGTTCATCGATGCGCACAATTTGTTGCATTGAAGTTAGCACTCACACGGAAGTGTCTTGGCTGATCACACGAGGTGTGTGCGTGCGTGCGTGTGTATAGGAGAAACGTTGCATCAGCTGTTGTGGTTTTGAGTTGCAGAATGGAGGACAAATTATGACCACTGCGTAACGAAAATCATTAGCCCTATATTTTATTATAAGATTAAAATAAAAGAAAAACAGCGGAAATAAAGATTTAATAACGAAAACCTCACAGGCGTTTAAAATAAAGTTTGTATAGGATAACTTTAAATAACGGGGGAGGTTTTTTAAGGGAATGAGTTTATCAAAGTAGTCAATGTAGTGTATTATTCAAACCGCTGCTTCTTTGAAGCAGAGAGGTGGTCACAAATTTAGCGACATAAAAAGTTCATGTACGTAGCAGGGTGATTGGTGGGGGGGGGAGGGGGTCACGAACGTCAATTTTCTCAAGTTTCTCTTTACTGCGACAAAGTCTGATTGCGCCAAAGTTAACTGTGATATAAAGGACTTGAAAGATTCAATAGAATGTAGGGAGGGCGACAGAGAGAAAAATGATGTGTACTTGCGTGACAATTTTTGTCGACGACTTTTCGTGCTGATTTTTTTAACAGTGTCTTTTGCTGCATCCTTCCCTGCTTTCGGCTTTATTATTGGCATTTTTATTACTTATGAGATTTCTTCCCTGCTTTCGGCTTTATTATTGGCGTTTTTATGAGATTCAAGACTTCAAAGTGTAAAGTGCCAATGCAAACAGACGATAAGGTTAAATCCATGTTTATATGTAAAGCCTGCTTTCTGGTTTTGAAAACAGTTTTTAACGTACCAATATTTCTTTAGGCTTCGAAAACAATTCGATTGAATCATTTATATTATTAGTTTATCTTTTAATGTTCTATATCTGATCCAGACAATATTAATTTATTTATTTATTAGGTCTTCATATGACGCTAAATATTTAGTCTTATCCACAAATTAGCTTTGTCATTTAAATAGCTTTTATAAAAGACCGCGATCTGAGAACTGTAAGTTTCTAATGCATGGTTGTCTTATTCATACCGACAAATATAAATATTAAAATTTCTTATATGTTTGGTCGGTTTGATCAAAAACCTGGATTACAATATAAGAATAGTGGCATTTTGTTGTATTCAATTCGTTCATTTTAACCATTTTTAATATACTGCTAATGATGGACCGTCGAATCGAAACCAAAACACGATATCTACATAGATCGTTTCTTTTTTTTTAAACTTTTAAGTGTACTTTACTTTTATCAGGCTCGATCTACCTGATTACACCATAATAATTTTTATAAGAATTCTATTTTGTATTGATCCGTTTCAAGCCAAATTATTTTAAATTATATTTTAATGAGAAAGCCTACATGTATAAATTGGAAAAGTTTATTATTGTGCAATAAACAAAATGCAATGTATGAGCATTGCGGAAACCGCCAATTGGTGTATGAGACAAAATAACGGTTTATTTATTTCATTTTATTTATTTAGTACTTAATTAGTGTTTCTAATGTCGTTCGCTGACAAAATTTGAACTATTCTCTTACAATGATCCACTAACACAGTTATTTACTAATGAACACCATTCAATGCGGAGTGAAGTCAAGCTCAAATGATGTTAAAATACACAAAAGCAAAGTTGGAATAAACCAGCCATCCTGAGAGTTGTCAATTATTTTAAATTACATGAAACATGCTTCTGGTACAAATTTCCACGTTCAAATTCATGATCACAATATAATGTGTTTCGTCATGCAGAATTAATATATACTGTGACAAAACAGATGTAGTTTTGTTAAAAAATGATTCTTACCGAAAAGAAATTCGTTGTTTGAACGTACACCCTATGTCTGTAGGAAATCAAGTTTGTACGGGGCTATAGACTACGTTCCAGACACTCTTCATATCAGTAGCTATTTCTTGCATTTGTTGAAGATCAATGTCTTCTGCGATGTTATCCATTGTACTTTGATGAACGTTTATACATGATTTGGGGCTTTCAAAGTGGTTAACTGCTCACTTTTAACAATGGTTTTGAGCTGTAGAAGGCCTTGAAGATGGCATTATAATCCGAATCAGCATATGTCTATCACCCGAAAGGAAAAGTAACTTAATTTTACCTTATTTAGACGGAAAATCCGATCGCATCTGTCACAGTTATTTATCAGGTCACAAAAAAAATTACTAATGTAGGTCAGAATTTTCTCAATGCAAGTTTAGACACATATGAACAGTGATATTCACAGGCAAATACACGCATGCATTAGGCCGATTTTTATAGACTGATAAACACTTTCGTGAATGTATGTCGGTCACAGGGCTGCGTTTGTGAGTTGGAAATGAGGCGAAGGGACTAGCGTAGGCCGGTCATTAGCCCGTGACTGCAGTCAGCGTGTGTAGACAGAGGCAAAGCGAGAGCCATCCACCCCTTGCTGGTATAAATCACTGTCACATGAGTGTCTCCGTACTGGCAGCACGAAGATGCAAGACGAAGGGCATCGCAGTTCGTGCGTGTGATCTCATTGCGATGGATCATGACACAGTTCCCGCATACAAAACTACTCACTGAACTCTGGAAAGTTTTCTTTCAGCATGAACGAGGATTAAAAAAGGTCAGTCTGACGCGTGTATAGGCTTGAATCAGGCTGCAAGTGTGGGATGAGCGCAAGAGAGATCAATAGCGGACTAGAATCACACGTTTTGACCGAGTTGAACACTCCGACTGTTTCGGGTGTCTTACTATGAGCGAATCGCTATAATTGTACTTCCCGCTTCGAAGAAACTTCCAAGATCCACACATTTGGGCCTACGAACGTGGTAACTTGACTACCAAGATCCACACATTTGGGCCTACGAAAGTGGTAACTTGATTGCTGGCCATAAATAATTCAGTGCTTATTATTACGTCGATTAATTATTTATTATACGTAATATGTAGGCATTTGACGTCACGAACAGAGAAAGAATCCCAGAATTAATTTGTACTCTAAAAGGTAATTTAATTCTTTGTAAGTATATTGAATTTTTACGAATATCTTTTTTGTAATTTTCCAAGAACGAAAGCTAACATCCGTAGGCCAAAGGGCAATGTGTCGTACGTATTTCGAATGCCATCAGCAGCATTGGAAATTCTTATCGAGATATTTTGACTTAAGATGCTGTTGACATATTCAAAATTATCTTCTTGTTTATAAGCTGGAAGCACCGTAGTCATCGAAAACTCACGTAGAAATGATGATTCACTTCCTGTGCATGTTGGGAACAGATACGCTACCATCGAAGAAAATGCAATACGGTACTCACATTTACATCTTTGCATGCCCCACTTAGGATTAAATGAGATTAAGTAACTAGTAAATCACTGGTTAAACATCGAACAGAGCATCGGAACACAAACCACTCATGCAAAAATATGTACATGTGTTGCATTTTGTGGAAGAGTAATGCGAAGGGACGCGTGTGGGAAAAAATAATTAAATAGCAGTGTATGAATACTTATCCAGTAAATCGGAAATAATATTCGTGCACGCCTATCGATTTGCACGTTGCTGGGGAATTTGCTTGCGTTTGTAAAAGGCGAGAGTGTTTATTGGCTTTTGTACGTTAAGGAATAAATTTCCTTGGGCAGTACGACACAGATTGTGACGTCGGTACTGGCAAAGACGTTCAGGCATGACCCCGAACCCCGTCAGCCCCCGGCAAAGAGCAACGGTTGCCGAAGTGCGTGATTTTAATCAGTCGCCTTTCACATTTAGATTTCCTCTGTTCCTCAAGGTCATTGCTTCCCAATTGTCCAGGATGCGGATAAAAATGCCTGTGTCTGAAAGACTTGCTAGAGGAATGTGTTCCATTTGAACCGTTGGTGTGTTTTAAACGTGAGGGAATGATTCTGTGTATTCTAATTTACTCTGATATAAAATGGAATATTTAAATATATTTTTGGGATAATGAAATTTGTTATAAAATTAAGTCAAGTGATAAATTTAAATGTAAGGGAATGCTTGTCACTAGTTTCTTCATGGTGTATTATTGAAAGCTTGTGGGAAATAAAAGTCAAGAAATGAAAAATTTGGGGAACGGGATGATGGCGCTCAAGAGACACTCATGCAGAACGGAAGAAAAATAAATCACCCACTCCGCATTATTGTGTGTTAGCTTCTTCATGAACACCTAACAGTTGTTTGTTGAAAGCTGCAAAGCCAAGGGACAGAACCAGCTAGTGGTCCTACCTGAGCCAGTATCCAGAGTGAAGCAGGCAGGACGCCGTCGTCTACTGAAAAGAACCAACGCAGACGACGACCACGGGAGAGTAACGGAAGCGTCGCCGGCGTCAAAACCGGCGACGTGATGTATCGTGCACTGTCACCAAGTCCATCATAGTCCAAGTGTTACGATACGAGTCGAAGAACAACAGTATCCTTGAGCGTCACTGTCACACATGGGTCGCGCTTCCTAGCCGTAGCGGCGGATCCTTGCTCCTGTTTGTTCCGTCTTGGAGCAACACGAAACCTGTCCTCCCGAACACCACGCCATATCAACACTGGCCACCACTAACACTCGGAAAGCCGTCAACACTCGTCTTGCACTGCCGTTGGGGCTGAGAGGCGCCTCGCTGGCACCCCATGAGGCAAGCAGGTGTCGCAGTATGATCCTCAAGAGCGGGCCGCACCGCCGTTATCACTCTGTACTCTGACTACCGGTATACGCTTCCTGTCTCGAAGAAGAAGAAGACGGTCGCTTCACCTGCAACTCCTGCCGCCTACTCACTTCACACTTGAGTCGCGACTGCTGCAAGTGCAAGACCTCAGTACCGGAGCGGACTCCAGGAACTTGCGGCTCCAGGGTTGGAGAAGCTAAGGACCTGCGCCCTAGTCCATTCCGGGAATGTTGGTGGCCGCCGCGATCACCCCCTCCCCCTTCACTCCGCTTTCATCTGTCCCTTCTTTCCCCATTCCTCCAATCCGCTCCGCCTTCATCCCAACAGGGATACTGGAGGGGGAGGAAAAGGGGAAAAACTGCTAAGGGGATACCGATCTCTTTTCCTCCCCCTCAAAGCGCGCTCTCTCTCCACCCCGTTGTTCTCGGTTACCAATATCGGCACCAACACTCACAATCTCAATATAAAGTTCCAATCTCGCCACTTGAGAGGAAAAAAAACAACACATCAATCGATATACGATAATGAACCCCCGCGATCACACGTCTCGCGCCCCTTCCTCCCCGTCTTCACCCCTTTCGGTCCGTCACAATAATTTTTCTATTACGGCGCGTCACAAATAAATATTGGGTTGCTAACCCCAATGAGTGACTTCTGATGATATAATCGACTATTCAGCAACTGCGATGAAAGAGAGTTTGATCAGTTACGACCAACATTAGCCGTCCAGCGCTTGTGTGCTGGTGGTTGTGGCGAGCCACACAATGTGCTCGGCGATACAATTGCAGGACCCTCATTGTGTCTCGCGCCGTCCAGCACAACCACAACACATTCATGCATCACATCTTCGCAACATTCAATTTATATATAGCAGGCAGAGGAATTACCTCAAGCACATCGGATTATGGAGGAATGATGAAAGACAATAATATATCTCACCTCTAGCAGATGTCATCGATGTAGTTTATTTACTTAAGATTTATTTACCGACGTTGTCAGTAATTCATATTACACAGCGCCAAATTCTGGGATAATTAATTGATAATGTATTAAAATGTGTATTGAAGAACGTAGTCCTGAGTTAATTTTAAAGTAGGGTCTGCGTTGTATAAAGTTCTTCGGTGGTAAAATGTGTTAAGATTTAGGAGCACGAGCGATTGAGAGAACTATAAAGATTGAATCTGTTCGTCCGTTTTCAACATATCTGCCATCTTTGGTCCTGATTCTGAACAAGCAGGTGGTTCGTATGTGACAAGTGATGGGGGCGGCTGGCGCGCCGGGTTATCGGGAGGATCGCTGCCTCCTGCCGGGAACATCTCCGCGCGAGTTCCCCTGATCGGCCTGCAACCCGCAAATCTCACTACGGGTGAGTCATACACAATTCCGTCCCTATTCCGGTGTCTGACAGCCGTCTACGCGACCCTCGCAGGCGAACTGATTCATCCACGCGAAATAATGCACTTGCGAGAACGGCGATTATCGGATGTTCAGACGAACTTGGAGGGAAAAAAAAGTTCGTCTTTGAAAAGTTATCTTGGAAAGAAAATTATAAAACACGTTTTTATGGTAGCCGTACGATTAAGTACTGTCTTGGTTTGGTACAAGATACTGAATATATACTTTATGAACCATGTTATAAAAACCATATCTAATGAAAGGAAACGGCTTATGATTTTTGTAATTTACCAATTTGTCACTACAGTAAGAAATCAGGACATTTCCCATAGTTTGATGGTGAATTTAAACATAATTATGTACTCTGTAAAATGGTTGTTAAGAACATGAAATGCCACACGCAATACAGTTGAAAGCTATTATTATCAGAAATGCCGTCCGCCTGACTTAAACTGCACGCACAGCAAGGCGTTGCGTCATAACATCGCGGGCTCTGTGCTCTCTTCCGGTGGTTCTACACCGAAAAATGAACTCTGCGCGAAAAGACCGCCCGTTTGTTTTAACATTTTTGTCCTCATATCTCTGATTGTCGCAGATTTTTTTTTTGTTCTACGCCTGCAGGGACAGCTGCCCGCAATTATTATTACACTTATTTTCTGAGATTTCACTTTGTATTTATGTTTTATACTTAGGCTTAGAAAACTGTAACTCTAATGGAGATGCACGGACATAAATATTATGGGACATAAAGTTAATTTTTATTCTCTTATCTGTAATTGCCGGAATTTGCCTTTTTCACAGTTATAGGAATTTTCACATAATTATAAAGCTTTTGTTCTTACGTTGCACTTTCGAAATTAAATTAGAAACTTCGGTCTACTACCACGTTTCCATCGCGGATCTAAAATACAAATGTTACGGGATGCAATGCTGGTTTGAAAATGTAATAAAACGTGAAACAACAGAGGCTAGGTGCTTGTAAGAAAATTTGGGTATTTTGGACTTACCAAAGCTGCAGGATTCCGTAAAAGATCCGGGAAGCGGTGATCACCACAACACCACAAGGAACGTAAAGTAAAAACGCGCGTTCCTCGCAAAACACGACACGCCCCCACGGCTTCTCACCTTATACATGCGAGTAGTGTTCGGTCTGGTGCCGCATCCAGACAGCAACGTGACTGCTGTTCCGCTGTCGGGTCGGGGGAGTGGCGCGTCCTTTGGACGCCTGGCGCATGGCACGAGGACGCCAGGGCACCGCCTCCCTCTTACAGACCCCAGTCACCAGGCGACATCTTCTGGACGATCCGAGAAATACTCTCCGTCTGGTCCAGGGGGGAATCAGGGAAGGAAGGGGTGGCGGAATTGGGATCAAGTCTGTCTACTGGCGCCATCCTTGAGAGAAACGGTTCTCCGAGTAAACTCGTTAGACCACGTGACTCTTCCCATGTTCTTAGACGTCGGACTTGAAGACAAACCGCCACATTCGAATTTACCGTCCTATATAGTTATTGAAGACCATATTAAAATTTAAATTTGAAGCAATTTGTTTAGACATTGAAGAAATTACAGTACTTTTGTTCCTCTGCCTTATTTAAAAACACAGTTCTAAATTTTGTTTCTTAATCCAAAGGCTGGTTTCTTTCAGGAAGATCTGAACCAGTTATATCTCAAGCTAAACGAAACGAGATGAGATGTCAGGTTCACAAGGCGGCGAGTATGAAGATGGCTGTCTCCTGGGATGTTTCACCGTGTAGTCTGGTAGAATGAGACCGATTATGTAGAGGTGATTAGTGCCTCCTTCATTAGGCCTCTTCGCCTGCTGATGGAAGCAGTGAATACCATTGAGGTGTCGGTCAGTTTCCAAGAGAATACACAGAGCAAAATTCTAGAAGACAGTCGTCTTCTTAATAAGAAATTTCCGTACGTATCTTCTCGCTTCCGAATATCAATTTGTTAATAGACTCAAACGCGGATCAATTGTAGAAATTTAAAACATAAAGTAGCCTAGGTATCGAGTACTGATAAAAATGTTCAAACACGACCAAAGAACCTTCACGCTGGCGACTGGGAACTGTTGTCGGAGTGTAGTTGAGCCCGCGACTGTTATGAGGGGTGAGGGGGTTGATGTAGGTGTCGCCACACGATATTTACCTCACCGATTGTTCCAATAAACGGAAATCGCGGGCGAAACGCTGTTGTGTTGTTGTCATGTCCTGCCAGATATTGTCAGCGCATGCGTTGTATTGTGTGTGCTGCAATTTCACATACGTTTCGTATATCGGCAGTTCGGAAAACAGTAATTGTGTATAAATACACACAAATACGCTTGTTGTGGTGAATCTGCACTCTCGCTATCGCATGCTGGCTTCCGTATGAAATAGCTTATTCTCTCTGTCCCAATTTTCTTGAACACTTCTCTGTCGGGTTACACGAGATTTATTAACTTTTTATTCTTTTGTCATTCAACAATATACATTTTATTTCACTGCCTTGTTGTTTTAACTTATTTTAACCCCTTCCCCTATTTAAAGTTGAATTTCTATAGAATTATTTACGCACGATTTGCTAAAGGAAAAATTATTTCCCCCATTTGTTTTTATACGATCGGTCAGTTTCGACCACTGTCGGACGAGTTCGGACGATGAGGGATATTGTGCATTAGATAAAGGCGTATGTCACTCTGGACCAGTTTGAAAAATAAAAGTTTCTGGAAATATGTATGACCGCGACGGCACACGCTCACTCGACATTTCCGCTGCAGTTCCGTGGTACTTCGAACACCCTGATGGTACTCAAGGCCCCCTGAACCTGACATACACAACACACCATTCGTGCGTTCGGTCAAAGTTTATTTTGCTCTATTTCTATACACATTAATTATCTACTTTATTGATGGCTCAGCAGGTCCGCTGACTTTCCACTTCATTGCAAACTGCTGAGTGATGATGGGAACACACAGTCACTTCAGAAGAAGCTTTCAGTAGGAAATGAAATTTGAACAGTCTCAGAAATATTAAAAGCTGAGGATACTTTTTGGTTTTCTATCGTAGATGGGAAAGAAAAATATACATATCAAGTTTAATGACGTCTGTAAGGAGCTTGTAGTTAAAATGATCTCGCATTTTGTGTTATATATTTCACTGGTTTCGATGTTCCTCTGGTGGAAAACCCTCGCCCCAATACAAAATTCTGTAACGAAAAACATTTTTCAGAAGTCGTAACAAGTCGTGAATATTATTGTCTTCTGGGATGTAGTTTCAGAGGTGCTTGTTGCATCCATCATCAGGGATTATCGCCCTCATCTAACCTTCCAAATACGAAGCAGAATTTTCAACCAAATTGGAGCGATGTTAATCACTGAGGTTTCCCTTCATTTTCTCCCGTCAGATTATTGGATAGTAGGCCCTGTGTTAAAAGGTGCTATTATTTCTATAGGCTGGAAATTAAAATATGTTTATGACTGAGAATTAAATAATCGTATTAATGTTAAGCAAATTCACTACAGACCTATTCAGAATTCAGCATGTGTAATTATTCTCTCATTTCTCCTTCAGGCATGCTTAAACTATGTTGCTGTCATGGCCTTGTTAAATAAGTAATTAAATATGTTCAGACATGAAATGGTAGGAATTCTCTCGTTGAAGTAACGCAGTTATTTTCTTACAGCTTGTTTCTCCGAAGTCCAATACACACAGAATTATAGAATTTAGTGACTTTACCCTACGAACAATGCCACAATAATGCAGAACA